GCGAGGGATCTGTGAGGTAACTGGTTTTTGGCCCATCCCTCGCGAATCCCTTGTTGATCAGCGACGGATAGACCGAAAACCATTTCCCTCGCTGATCATCGACGGATTAACGAGAGAAACTGTTTTTGGCCTACCCGTCACTAATCAACGAGAGATCTGCGAGGGATGTGCCAAAAACCAGTTCCCTTGCTGATCAACGACGTATTAACATCCATGTAAAAAAAATTATGAACACAACCATAATGCATTTGAATTAATTCCATGTTTCGTTCATATTCAGCTCTGTATTCAAATTGATGAATCTTATAATAAGCATTCATATTCACATTCACTTCAAAATGAATCTTATAATAATGCATATAAATTCAAAATTGATTAGACAATGGAACAAGATTCATTCCATCACTTCACCGGAGTAATAAATCAACTGAGATTTTTTGAATAATACATCAACACTCATCCTTCAGATTCGCAACATCATGAGTTTCATGATGTCAAACTAATTACTCTAAGATCTCAAATTGATTCATAATTTTATGAGTTTCATAACAAAGGATATCATCTTGTCAATAATGCAATTAGATTTATTGTTATATCAAGGATGCAACGAGATTCATTCCATAACTTAATTGGAGTGGTAGACAGTAAGGTAACAATAAATTTTATCGAACACATTATGTGCCTTATTCACATTTTCTCTTTAAAATCCTAAAAAAATGTGTCATTTTACCAACCCTTAACATCTGTTGAAGCCCGTGTTTCTAGTTCACAAGTGATTCATTCATCAGTTTGATATGTCGTTGGATTCACTACAAAATCATCAACGTCTTCTTCGTCTAGAACAACTGGATTTGTTGCACTATTCTTAAATTTAGAGAAAGAATTCTTGATCGTGATTCGTTCGCTTCTTTTCCGGACTGATTAATAGAAATACCACAAATTAGGTTTTAATAAAATCTCAATACCAAAGGCAACCAACTATTTTTTTACCTCGATTTCTGTATTGATGATACCACGTTGAATTTCTTCTGCCATCTGTTGATGTATATAACCCAATTTCTTCGTTGATCCCTACCCAAACTATGCAATAATGGTTGATAATGTAGAATAATTATCGGAATTCGAATCTTGAGAATATCCCGTCTAAGGAAACCAAGCTAATGAATTTCACTGTAACAATTTTGCCCTTGTTTTCTGAAGCGCATGTCAATCAAAATGCTTTTAATTTCACTTCTGCTATGAGACGCTTCCTGATTGTAGATTAAAGTTCGGATGGATGAGATGCGGTTGTATAAATACCAAAAATTGCACAAATAATTGTTCTATATATATATAGGGGCAGGTTCAAATGAAAACCATGCAATTTTAAGAAACCGTGTAAACCAAATTCGACCAATAGGAAAATTCTATTCTTTTTTAATTAAATTTAATCAGTAAGGGTATTTTGGTCATTTTTTATATTTTTATGATAAATAAGGTAGTTATTAATAAATATTAAATAAGGAAATTTAATAATGGAAATTTCTTGAATGGTAACATATTAAATTTTTTAATATATTATAATATTAAAAACTTGATTTGAATGGGGCATTCATAATGAAACAGTTTCATTAACGCTCTTTAGCACGAGATTTTGAGTCTCGCGTATAATGAAACTGTTTCATATGAGACGTTCATATGGGGCGAATTTCATTCCTAAAGTTCATGAAACTGTTTCATATGGAGCAAATTTCATGAAACTGTTTCATAATAAAAATGTTCATAATCTAATACTCTAGGCATATTGTCCAAATTAATACTCTAGACATATTATCCACTTTTATGAAAAGGTTTCATGAAACTGTTTCATAATGAAAAAGTTCATAATGATGAATCATGTTCATATGAGTGGAATAAGGAAAATGAACTATTGATGCAACGGTTTTCATCAAACGTTTCAAAACAGTTGAAAAATCGAAATAATATAATCTCTCTATTTCCTAATGAAAATATTGTAATGAATAGTTTCATAAACAAAGTTCAAAAAACAATGGTCATGAAACTGTTTGAATGTGAAAAGGTTTCATTGTAAAATGGTTTATTTGCTCCGTCTATGCATATTATACGTGTTAATGAAATAGGTGTTTTGTGATTGAAGTTTCATGGTTATCCTTGTTGCTTTGTGATTGAATGTACATCTAGGTTCATGATGATCCATGTTGCTTTGTGATTGAAGTTGATCTGTTTAATTGGTAGGATTAAAATGAAACAGGTGCGTAATGTATTGTGTTCTTTTATGAAATAAATATATGATGAAACGGGTGCATATTATATTTTGTTCTTTATGGAATTAATGTTAATGTGAAAAGATTTCATTATAAAATGGTTCATTGATGTTATATTAATATTAACTTTTGTTTATGGAATTAATGTTATATTGATGTTAACTTTTGTTTATGGAATTAATGTTATATTGATGTTAACTTTTGTTTATGGAATTAATGTTATATTGATGTTAACTTTTGTTTACCAATTTGCCCTTATCATTGAAATAAAATAATTTTTTAATATTTTT